CCAGCTCTTCGAAACGTCAGCATGAAAAGTCCCCCGATCCGGTGAGCAATTCATTCTCCTCAAAATACTGATCATTATATTTACCCATGAGGAGTTTGGCTACATTCACGATAGTATCACAACTCCGCTTAGGCCATAAAAACTTCAGATGCCTGGACACTGACGAAACGGTATTGGTTAGTCGGCCGGTGTTCTAAAGAAAATCCTGCTCCTCCCTCCCCGTTTATTAATACGGGCATATGGCCTTCTAATTTTAACGCTTACAATGCTATCCATGCATCTGAACTGTCCCATGCTAATTATAATTGACTTCTATATGATGAAGCAGACGACGTCATGGCAGTCATCTTTGCTCAGGAAAATAACGTCACAATGTGTATTGGAAAATGAAATACCTACCACAGGGTTTAAGTCGCACCTAAACGGGAGGCATGTTGAAGTAGCTTCTAGTCGTGATAACTAATCTAGTACACCCATCCCATGTACATATCACGGCGTGCTGGAATCTAACTAGTGATGTCTGAGCCGCTGACTGCGAAAATATAATTCGGAAAGGTAAACGTCCGCATACGCATTGGGACAATTCATATGTTGGCTGCATTTTTGTGATCGGACTACTTCATGCTTGCAAAAGTTAGGAAACCTTTTTGAAAATGTACTCGCTTTAGGAAAACGCAGCTCATTTGAACCTGAAATGTTTTTTAAAAAAGCCGGTTCTTATTATTGTGCAGATAAGTTGAAATATATTTTGTGAGCTATACCATCGGACGTTGAAATAGAACTAAGGCAAACGTAAAAATATCTAGACTGCTGGCTATGGCGTACGAGTATGCGATTGCTAATACGTTTCAGCTAAAAGCAAAAAAAGACATCCCAAGTAGATACAAGTCAGAACGGACGTGTTCTGACAGAAACCATTTTCCACTCAACGCCAACACACGACAGTGGATGAAGTACCTTTCTGAAGATTATTCTTTAAGAAGATGCTATTTGATATATTGCCTTCCAGTATACAGAACACACGCATCAGAACTACACTGGAAGAGTAAAGTAACCTATGATTACAGCTTGTGTATTTCCTATTTGGGCGTGGTTTGAGCTTTTTTGCAGTAAATGACAAATAAGCTCCCGCTTTGCTGGATAGAATTCCAACGTGTTCATTAATACCTATTCTACCAATTGCGTTTGACTTTTCCGAAATTGCCCCTTGCTGCGAAGTTCTTCAAATGTAATTTGAGGACCAGTGCCAATGCAACTTTTCTAAAGATATTTTACATAAACCAATGGTGTATTACATTCCGGAACTATTTTAATTGTTGCCCTCCAGTGATATCTTATATTAAAATGCCCGGTGAATTTCATATTGTTCCTTTACCGCGCCAAATGTCAGTATATACGTGCTACGTTTCATTCATTTTCGATGCACTAATAAGACAAGAGGTTTGTATGGAAAACGAAACAATATTATTTTTGCACAAATTTGAGAAAAACCAACTCTTTAAGGCCTTTAATTTTGAAGAGTATATTTTTCGGTTTTGAAACCGTTTTTGATTCCCAATAATCGCTGGCTCGACATTCAAAAATATCGCTTTCAGCTAGACGAACAAAAGAACAGCTTAAGTGTTTGTTATGCAAACAACTTAAACTGCGCTCCGTTAGTGTATAAATAGCAGCTTCAAAATGCGCGGGACTTACGCCAACTGTTTCTTCTGCGTTTGAAAAAGGTCATCATAGACTCCGTAGGTGCCACTGCAAAGCGTCACTGATGGAAGCCATTCAATTCGAATTGTCATGGCGTTATCGTCAGGCCGAATGTATCCGGCATTTGCATCGCATATCTAGAATTGGTAAGGACGACAATGGC